GCTTCACCACCCATTTATCCCTCCGCCTTTCAACCAGCACCACATGTGATTATCGGCCAGGCTGGCACAATTAACTAACTCAGGCGGTATGGTGTGTTACGAGTTGGACTGCGAACTGCTTGCTCAGCAGTTCAGACCCACTAGCTGCTCTTCAGGAGAAAGGAAGGTTTCCATTCCCTGGAAGATTACTGTCTCAGAAACCCACGGGGGCATTTCTACTCTGTCCTGTAGGGTCGCTGTCCGTCAGTATTAACTTGATGGCAGTGAGTGAGATGCAGTTTGACATCCTCTAGACCTCAAATAGTGTTCCTCCTCAATGTTCCTTGAGTTTAGGGAACAAAGAAGTCTGATGGGGCAAGATCAGGACTGTGGAGTGGGTAGGGGGAGGTTTCCCTTGCTACCCTTGGAATCGAGTAGGTGTGCATGGCTGTGGTGGGAAAGCATTCCTTGATACAACTTTCCGCCTCCTTTTCTCACCAATGCAGTTCTTGATTTTCTTAAAACTTGTAATCATCCTGTGTCCTTTCATAAAAAATCTATTAAGATGACTTGCTTTTTTTGTTTGTTATGTTTTGTTTTTCTGTTAGATGAGGTTTATTGGGAAAGAAGTTACTAGAATCAGGAGGGCACTAATCCACACCTGGAAAGGTACTCCACTGAGTATCTGAAGCAATTGACAGGAGGAGGAAGCCATGGCTTATTTCTGTGGCTCCAATTTAAGGAGCTCACTGGTCAAGGAGGGTGGCCTGACTTCCAGGAATCCAGGCAGTTAAAAGAGGTTTAATTAGGTTGAAGTATTTGGGGGCTGGGGAGGATTTATTTTTAGGAGTATTTTCCACTTGACTGTTGATGCCATATTGTGAACTACAAGAGCCCATTTGTATTTCATTGTACATGTGCCAAGTGTGTGTGTCCCCGTGGGGATCTGCCCTACTGAGTACCCATGCCATTTGTCTGTACATCTTTCTGCAATACCTGGGACATCTGTGCGGTGATGTCCTGTGTGCTAGGTGCCCGTTCATGTGCTGTGCTGGGTGCGTGTATCTGCAGGCCTCTCCCCTTAGGGTCTGTGTACATAGGGCCTTGCCCATGGGGGTCTCATGCATGTGTGTGAGTCCCTGCAGACTGTCCTGCCCATGTGCAGTCAGTTCCAAGAGCACACATCTGCCCTTGTTCAAGTCGTAACTGGTGACCGAGCCCAGGATGAAGATGATCCAGAAGAGGGTGACTCTGCCCACCATTGTGGTGTTGATGTCCAGCTTGCCCGTACATAGCCTCTGGCAGACACATCTGTGGTCTGAGGCCTCCTCGGTGTTGAATGTGGCCACTACCCTGCTGAGTTTATCCTGGCTGCTATCCTTCCACAGGCTACTGGACACCACTCTCTTGGGGCTACATGCTCCCACCCTCCAGCCTCACCTCCCACGTGAAGCCAGACATCAAGATGACTCCCTTTGGGGCCCCCCAAAATAGTCACCACAACCTTCTGAGGCGATCTCTCTGCCTTAACTTGAACCCACCCAGCAGATTCCCTTGCGAGCCATGTTTTGCTTGGACCTTGCCCTCTGGATTGGTAAATCCAGAACTCATCCCTGGTTACCATTTGTTCCATGAAATCATCTTCATGACCATCAATCTCGCTTAAAAGACAAATGGAAAGATCAGCTCTGAGTTACCTGATCGGGGGCCATGCTTTTGATTCTAGCGAGTTGAAAGCTTATTGAGAGTAAGATGTTTGCTTAACATTGAAATTGCTGAACGCTGTGAGATCCCAACTTCAATAGCTGTCCCATCATTTAGAGTTCTCTGGTCTTCCATCAGCAGTTTCTAAGCTTCAGTTATAGTTTCTTATTCACCAGGTTGATAGTCTTCTTATCATAAAGAACCCCCTGACTTTCCTTAGACGTTTTAAGATTTAAACATTTTTAAAAAGTTTTAAAATGCTTGATTCATTTAAAAACTGTTGTCTTATATAGGACAGCACTTCTGTAAACTTGTTTTAAAGATGTAATGATTTGGGAAGAAAACCATCTGAGTTTTGTTAAAAATTTGGTATTAGCCCTGAATGTTTATTAAGACAAATGTATTACTGAGAGATCTTTATCCATTGTTATCCATTGATCACAGAGATGTGTTTAAACATAATTTGATTTGAATAAACCCATGCACCGATGAACTAAGGAGCCCTGAATTACAAGTTTTACTGCCAACCATAAGGTCAGCAATTTTAAAAAAATAATTAAATCATTTTATTGGGGACTTATACAACTCTTATCACAATCCACACATACGTCCATTGTGTCAAGCACTTTTGTACATT